TGATAAGGACAGTATGCATAATAAGAACATGGTGTGCTAAGGAGTAGTGGCACTGCAGTTACTGTACTGTGCAGAGCACAGACATAGGGGAACAGGAGCAGAAGCAGAGTGGTCAGTTAACAGACTGTTGCAATAACCAAACCAAAAGATGATCGTGGCCCAAGCAGGGTGGTTGAAAGGAAGAGATAAACTTCCTGAGTTTTTTTATACTCTGTGAGCCTAGCCAATGGGATTTCTTGATGAAACAGATGTGAAATATGAGAAAAAAGGAGGAATCAGTGAATTTGGGTTTTTTGTTTGTTTTTGTTTTTTTGCTTGCTCAGTTAGCAGATTTGTGTAGCTATCAATAGGATGGAATAGATTCCTACAACAGAATTTAGAAAAATAAAAAATTTGTTTTTATGCACATTAGGCCTACTAAATATCCAAAGTGAATATGGTAAATTGGCAGGTGTGGGTTAGGGAAGATGTCTGGGGAGGATAAAAGTTCAAGAATAGTCAGCACATTGGTAGGTTATAATAATGTAAAGAGAGAGGGGCAAAGGTAATGAGGATGTGCGTATGGGAGTGGTTGTAATGAAAGACCATGAAGTCTAGGCTGTGTAAGGAGCTGAGAAGGGAGTTGATATGATGGGTGAGAGACAGTTGAAAGAGGGTATGATCAAATGAATTATGGGTTTTATAGGGGTTAATCCTGGTTGCAATCAGAATCCTGAAGGTAGTGAGTGGAATCAGTGGTTTTTGTCACAGATGAGACAACTGAAATTGGGCCAAAAGCAGAAAGATGGTTAATGATAATGGCAAAGTCCAAGTTGCAACCTTCAGGTTGTTATTTTCTCATTGAATAGCCTTACAAAAATTCACAGCCTCTTTGGGCCTCTATAAACTGGGGACAGTAGTAATCTTACAGAGTTGTGATAAGGATGAAATAATGCCATAAGGGGAGCTGGCATCGTTACACAGCAGGTTAAGCCACTGCTTGGGATGTCTACATCCATATTGGAGTGCTGGTTCATGTCCCAGCCACTCCACTTTTAATGCAGCTCCTTGCTAATGTGCTTGGAAAGCAGCAGATGATGGCTCAAGTGCTGAAGTTCCTGCCACCCATGTAGTTGACCCAGTTGGAGCTCCTGGCTCCTGGCTTCAGCTTGGTGCAGTCCTGGCTGTTGCAGCGATTTGAGGAATAAACTGGTGGATGTTAGATCCCTGTGTATGTTTGTCAGTCTGTCTGTCTCTGTCATACTGGCTTTCAAATAAATAAATATTTTTAAAAAGATGATATAAATGTAAAATATGTAGCACTGTGTCTACCATATGATAGGCCTTTAAAGGAATTTTTTTAGTTCTTTTATGATTTTAAGCCTCATTTCCTAGCTTGAGCAGAGTATCATATACATGCTTGATACTTTTCCTTCAAAATTGATTCATATAAAATAACATATTTTAAAGATTTATCTTATTTATTTTAAAGATTTATTTATTTACTTGAAAGACAGAGTTACAGAGAGAGGTAGAGCCAGAGGGAGAGAGGTCTTCCATTCGCTGGTTCACTCCCCAGATGACCACAACCGGAGCTGAGCTGATCTGAAGCTAGGAGCCAGGAACTTCCTCTGTATCCCCAGTGTGAGTGCAGCAGCCTAAGGACTTGGGCCATTTTCTACTGCTTTGTCAGGCCATAGCAGTAAACTGGATTGCAAGTGGAGCAGCCTGGACTTGAACCACTTCCCATATGGTATGCCGGCACCACAGGCTGGGGCATTAACCCACTGTGCCACAGTGCTGGCCCCAAATAAAATTTTTTTTAAAATTCAATCTAAGACATGGTTATTTTTACTCAGAGCCAAAAGAAACACTGCTACATTGGAACTAGCACTTTATATTAGCAAGAATTCTTATTTCTGCTACAATTCTGGTACTATTACTATTTATTCATTTGGAAGAATTTGTGTGCCAAGAATTTTTACATCATTTGCATTTGACTGTTAAAATAGCCCTGTGAGGTACATGCTGTAGCTAATTCTGTTATTTCCCCATTTGCCAGTTGAGGAAATGAAAGTATAGTGGTGTGTACTACATATGAATATATTGAATACATATGAATATCTTGGTTAAACTAGAACTTGAACACAAGTTTTCTGACTGTTAACTAATTTCTGTGCTTGTTATGGTACCTCATTTTTTGGGATATGTTTTCCTGCTATTTATTTATTTATTTGAAAGTCAGAGTTACACAATGAGAGGAGAGGCAGAGAGAGAGAGAGAGACGTCTTCCATCCGGTGGTTCACTCCCCAATTGGCCACAACGGCCAGAGCTGTACTGATCTGAAGCCAGGAGCCAGGAGCTTCCTCCGGGTCTCCCCCGTGGGTACAAGAGCCCAAACACTTGAGCCATCTTCCACTGCTTTCCCAGGCCATAGCAGAGAGCTGGATCAGAAATGGAGCAGCCGGGTCTCGAACCGGCGCCCATATGGGATGCTGGCACTTCAGGCTAGGGCGTTAACTTGTTGTGCCACAGCACTAGCCCTTATCTGCTATTTTCTAAAGTTCTCTCTCTAAACTCTGTAATGGAAAGATTTCTCTTTTTATGGTTAAATCTCATAATTTATATATTCATCCAATACATATTTTTGTAATCATTCTGTATTTGCTAGGCTGTAAGAATATGTGTTAGTCAGCTTTTCCTAACCATAAAAAATACCTGAAGTGGCTAACTTTATAAAGAAAAAAGGTTTGGTTCACAGTTTTAGAGGTAGAAGGTCTGAATAGCATGGTACTGGCTCAGGTGAGGGCCCATGGTAAATGGCAGGAGCATGAGAGGAAGAAATCACATCTCAGAACAGGAAGCCTCAGAGACTCCAGGGCCAAGGTTAGGCTTTTATAGCAACTTATTCTCACTAGGACTTCTGTCTTAATCCCTTTGGAGGGCAGTACCCTTAGTGACCTAAGGACCTCTTTCTAAGCCCCACCTTTTAAAGGTTCACCCCGTGTCTACATGCTACATTCAAGACAGGCCTCCAACACACAGAGCCTGGGGAGAAAAACCAGAGCAGAATACAACAGTTAGCAAGGCATTTGAGGATAGCCAAAAACGTTTGTGGAAAATGGTATTAAAAGTTAGTGTGATACTTTGTGAAGTCCCTCATATTCTCCTGTCTTTGTGGAGTGTTCACTGCAGTAGAGTTGTTAACTAAACAGTTACATAGGCCAGCGCCGAGCTCAATAAGCTAATCCTTCGCCTTGCGGCGCCAGCACACCGGGTTCTAGTCCTGGTCGGGGCGCCGGATTCTGTCCTGGTTGCCCCTCTTCCAGCCAGCTCTCTGCTATGGCCAGGGAGTGCAGTGGAGGATGGCCCAAGTGCTTGGGCCCTGCACCCCATGGGAGACCAGGAGAAGCACCTGGCTCCTGCCTTCAGATCAGCGCGGTGCGCCGGCCGTGGCGGCCATTGGAGGGTGAAAGGAAGACCTTTCTCTCTGTCTCTCTCTCTCTGTCTCTCTCTCTCACTGTCCACAAAAAAAAAAAAAAAAAAAAAAAAAAAAAAAAAAAACACACACACACAACAATTACATAAACATATTCATGGTGGTCGGCATTGTGGCACCCCTAGTTAAGCCGCTGCCTGTACCACCAGCATCCCATAAGTGCCAGTTTGAGTCCCAGCTGCCCCACTTCTGATCCAACTCCCTGCTGATATGCCTGGGAGAGCAATGCAATGCAATCTTGCGATGGCCACAAGTGTATTATAAGTTCATTGCTTGTCCTATGCTGAGGCCATGGGCAACAACTCAGTTTTGCTATTATTCAGCCTATCCACACTTTTATGCTGACAGTTTTGGCTGGCATAGCACATTGAATCTTTCCAAAGTGGTTGTAATACATCTTTGCCTGAATAAATGACTATTTCCATTTAAATGGATTTGGTATATTACACTAACTAATCCATTAGACTCCTTGATTAAAACTTAGAGCTTTAGCTCTAAATACTATGAGGGGACCCAGGGAATTTTTCTTTTTCTTGTTTACATCTATTGCCTCATAAGTACATTTTATGTAGCATATGGTCTCATACATTGCTATAGTAAAAATCCATGTGATCATCAGAAGGGAAATCTCAGGAGATGAAAATTGTAATTTATCAAAATTTCACTCCATCCTATTTTAAACAACAAAATATCATCCATTGTTATATTATAAAATAGGCTTATAATAGTGTAAGAGCATACTAGAATTGGCTGAGGCATTTAGCAATGTAGGAAAGAAGATTTAAAAAGGAAGTTGGCTAGGAAAAGCAAAGGGTAAGTAATTGCTGAGCACGTGTATCAGCGCAGGTGGTAGGACTTGCCTGGAATGACTGCAAAGTGCACAGTGTGGTGCTGGCTAAGCATTGTTAAAACAGAGAGACAGATGTAGAGCAATAGTTCTATAGATATCCTTTTTTTATCAGGCAAGCTAGATTTCTCAAGCACATGAGCAATTGTTCATGATAGATTTTTTAAATATGAGCAATAATATGGTACAGTTGAAAGAGTGGTACCCAATCTTCATTGAATCTTGATTCTGACATGTTCTTATATGACCTAGGGTGATTCTCTGAATCTCTCTGAACCTCACTTACCTCAACTGTAAAATTACAGAAATACCTTCATTAAGTAGTAAAATTTTGTATTCATAATGGTAGCCCTGTAACAATGAAAGACCTAGAGAATCTAAATTATTCACTGATTTTTATATATTAACTTTGTCTTGAATTTTATTGCATATATCCCTTTATGATTAAGAAGCTAATGACTTACCACTTACTACTGCTAAATATGAAGGACTAGAGTGTATGCCCTGCATCCTTTTTCGTGTGCTGTAGTGTCATCTGTAAGCCAATGTAGTTACATTTGCTCTCAGAAGAAGGCAGTCATTCTGTTTATCAGTGCTCTCCAGTGAGCAAAGGCTTAGCCAACTTTTTCTTCCTTTTTCTTGCCTAACAATTTTTCATCTTTCTTTGAATTTAGGAGCATGTATCCTGTTTGGAAATCTTTTCTCGAGGGAACAATGCAGGTAGCCCAGTCTCGGATCAATATATGTGAAAACTATAAAAACTTCATTTCTGAACCTGCAAGAACAGTGAGAAGCTTAAAAGAACAGCAACTAAAAAGGGTATTGTTTCTATATCTGTTCTTTTTCTGTGTGTATTTTAATATCTCAGTGCTATATTTATAATCTGCAAGATGATACTAAATTGCATTTTGTACTTTGAACTTTCGTATATGGTCACAAACATTTTTGGTTGATATTTTCTGAGTATTTCTTCACATTAACAAGTTCCCTTTAACCACTGTATTTCATTATCCAACAAAGATTAATGTAATTTGAATCTATGGAAACTAAAGTATATTAAACATTTCTTCAGAATACCACTTCTAAGTATAACTGAAGTAAATAGATTTACTTAGTTTCACACTGTTGGTACAGTATATTAAAATATTTAAAATCGTACATTAAATAGTTAAGTGTTATTAATCCTTCTAAGTCTTAAAAAATTTTTATCAGTCAGTTTCAAGTTAAGCCATTTTGTCTAATGTAAAGGAAATTGACACATTTTGACCAAATATACTAGTAAAATTATTATTTTTTATTTATTTGACAGAGTTAGTGAGAAAGAGAGAGACAGAAAGGTCTTGTTTCCATTGGTTCACTTCCCAAATGGCCGCTACGGCCTAAGCCAGTAGCCAGGTGCTTCCTCCTGGTCTCCCATGTGGGTGCAGGGGCCCAAGCACTTGGGCCATCCTCCACTGCCCTCCCGGGCCACAGCAGAGAGCTGGACTAGAAGAGGAGCAACTGGGACTAGAACCCGACGCCCATATGGGATGCCAGCACTGCAGGCAGGGAATTAACCAAGTGAGCCACGGCACTGGCCCTAGTAAAATTATTTTTTTAAAAAATCAAGTGTACTATAAAGTTTCATATATAGTTTACACGTGAGCATTTTCAAATAGGCTTATTTCTTTGATTTTACAGATTGTATTTTCATAGGTAAATGTTATTGTTTAATGTGATGTTAATGAAAAGTTAGCTGTTGAAAGTAACTGAGTTGTATCTGTTTTGGAAATAGAGTTATAAAACTGGAGATTATCATGATGTCTATTGTAATTAAAATTTTCTTGTGGAGGTATTAATACTTCAGAAAATATGAAAGTAATTATTTAAAAAATTAGTATTTAAGAAATCATTCACTGTTATCGTTTGAATTTTTAGAAATGTATTTCCAGAGACTTAAAGACCAAATCTTTCCTTTTTGCTAAAGATGATTTTAATAGCATAAAATCAATATGTCAAATGTATATGTGTGTGTGTGTATAGAATTGTAATCTTAATACACTCAATATCAGTTGGTTTCACTGATTTATATAAGAATGACTTTTTTTTTTAAAGAATGGCTGTGTTTTATCTTTGCAAGCATGGTGAATAAACTATGTGACCACTGACCAATGATTTTATGATATTAGAAAATTTACATGCATGTGTATGTGTGTGTGTCTTGTCTGGTTATGCAGAAAGAAGGTGGAAAGGTAGAATCAGGGAATTAATTTTTTTTAAAGATTTATTTATTTATTTGAAAGGCAAAGTTACAGAAAGACAGAGGCAGAGAAAGAGAGCAAGGTCTTCCATCCCCTGGTTTACTCCCCAAATGGCAACAACGGCTAGAGCTGGGCAGATCCAAACCCAGGAGCCAGTAGCTTCTTTTGGGTCTCCCACGTGGGTGCAGGGGTCCAAGAACTTGGAACATCTTTTACTGCTTTCCCAGGCCGTAGAAGAGAGCTGGATTGGAAATGAAGCAGCTGGGACTCAAACTGGCACCCGTATGGTATGTCGGCACTGCAGGCAGCGGTCCTACCCACTCGCCATAGTGCCAGCCTGGGGAATTAATGTTAGTGTAACTTCCTAATCAGGAGGAAATATTGTGTCCAAATGCAGTGTCCAAATCCAAATGAATTACTGGAAAGTTCCACTTTTGTCAGTATCAGACTATTTTGAAAAAAAAAAAAAAAAAATTTTTTTTTTACTATCTTGAGTGCTTGTCCCTTCCATTGGTGGAACAGACACAGACCTGAACTTAACCAGCATTCCTGGCCAAAGAATGTTTGGTAAGGTTTGATAAGCCCTCATATCTATGATTAATGTATATTATATTATAGCTAATAAAATGGTGTTTGTGTTGAGCATTAAGTACATATTGAATATAGCTGTCAGGAATCCATAATTACAAATAACAGAAATCCACTTTAAACTGCCTTAAGCTAAGAACAGAATGTATTAGCTTATATACATGAAGATTCTAGGACTTCAGGCATGCTCAGATACAGGGACTCAAATGATAGAATTCAGTTTTTCTGGGGGGTCCGGCACTGTGGCTTAGTGGGTAATGCCTCCACCTGCAGTTCTGGCATCCCATGTGGGCACTGATTCAAGTCCTTGCTGCTCCACCTCTAATCCAGCTCTCTGCTATGGGCTGGGAAAGCAGTACAAGATGGCCCAGGTCCTTGGGCCCCTGCACCCCTGTGGGAGACCTGGAAGATGCTCCTGGCTCCTGGCTCCTGGCTTCAGATCGGCACAGTGCTGGCTGTTGCGGCCAATTAGGGGGTGAACTAGCAGATGGAAGACCTCTCTGTCTCTGCCTCTCTGTATCTCTGCCTTTCAAACAAATAAATAAATCTTAAAAAAAAAATTCAGTTTTTCTTTTCTTTTCTTTTTTGAAAGATCTACTTTTATTTGAAAGCCAGAGTTATAGAGAGGGAAACACAGAGAGAGGGCCTCCATTTGCTGGTTCACTCCCCAAATGGCCTCAGTGACCTGAGCTGGGGCAGATCAAAGCCTGGAGCCAGGAGCTTTATCTGGCATCTTCTGCTTTTCCCAGGCCATTAGCAGGGAGCTGCATTGGAAGTGGAGCAGCTGGGACCTGAACTAGCACCCATATGGAATGCCAATGCTGCATTCTATAGCTTTACCTGCTAAGCCACAATACAGGCCCCTAGAATTCAGTCTTTTCTTCCATTCATTAGTTCTATTTTCTCCAACTGCTTCATTCTTAAGCAACTCTCACTACATGGTAGTCCCAAGATTACTTGATTTACAAATTTTATAAATAGCAATACCAAATTTCTCATTTTTCCAAAAGTTTGAATAAAAGTGCCAGAATTGATTTCCATAGTGGCTGTATCATTTTTCATTCCCCCCAACAGTGTGTAAGAGTTCATATTTCTCTACAGCCTTGCCTATATATTTTATCTACTTTATTTTTTTCATGATTGCCAATCTGATAAGTGTGAGGTAATATTTTTTGTGGTTTTGTTTTCCATGATGAATAATGACATTGATCAATCTTATATTTTTATTATCAAGTTTTCTTTCACTATTAGTTTTTTTTTTTTTTTTTTTTTGACAGGCAGAGTGGACAGTGAGAGAGAGAGAGACAGAGAGAAAGGTCTTCCTTTGCCGTTGGTTCACCCTCCAATGGCTGCCGCGGCCGGCGCACTGCGGCCGGCGTACCGCGCTGATCCGATGGCAGGAGCCAGGTACTTCTCCTGGACTTCCATGGGATGCAGAGCCCAAGTACTTGGCCATCCTCCACTGCACTCCCTGGCCATAGCAGAGAGCTGGCCTGGAAGAGGGGCAACCAGGACAGAATCCGGTGCCCCGACCGGGACTAGAACCTGGTGTGCCGGCGCCGTAAGGCAGAGGATTAGCCTAGTGAGCCGCGGCGCCGGCCACTATTAGGTTCTTAATTTTATAATCCTATATTATTCTTTTCGTAATTGCCCTGGAGATTCCAGTATGCCTCCCTAGCTTATTTTACTACCGTGAATCGGTAACTTTTTTTTTATTTTTATTTTTTGACAGGCAGAGTGGACAGTGAGAGAGAGAGACAGAGAGAAAGGTCTTCCTTTGCCGTTGGTTCACCCTCCAATGGCCGGCGCGGCCGGCGCGCTGCGGCCAGCGCACCGTGCTGATCCGATGGCAGGAGCCAGGAACCAGGTGCTTTTCCTGGTCTCCCATGGGGTGCAGGGCCCAAGCACCTGGGCATCCTCCACTGCACTCCCTGGCCACAGCAGAGGGCTGGCCTGGAAGAGGGGCAACCGGGACAGAATCCGGCGCCCCGACCGGGACTAGAACCCGGTGTGCCGGCGCCGCTAGGCGGAGGATTAGCCTAGTGAGCCGCGGTGCCGGCCTTCCACTGGTTCTTGAAACTTCAGTCCACACATGCGTTTTGGAAGTCAGATAGAAACTCAAGGGGAAATTGCATACAGATTTTTGGACTTGCTTCTCTGCAGTACCCTTCTTTCCAGATCGTTGCTTCCCAAGTTCCTGCTCTTTTGGCATTCCTGAACCCCAGCCTCTGTCTCTGCAGTCTAGTAAGAATGCCACTTTCTTTATATGTCCTGTTTCTTTGTGTCATGATTCAACAAATGCCTGTAGGGAAAAGTCAAGTTGAAGGTAGAACTTAACCTATTTGTGCAGTGTTTCTCCTAGGTTTCATAGTCCATTGTGCACTGTTGTCTAATTTTACATTTTGTAGATGACAGGGAGATAGTCTGAAAGAAGTGTCTAAATTATAATATCCAAGTGCTCCCTATATTCTGATCCAAGTGTTCTGTCACAATCAGAACCAATTTTGACTTAAAATTCTCCCTAACATTTTAAAGTACATACCTTTTTTTAAACTTTGTCTATTTGGCTATTTGCTTTGATGATTCTTGGGAAAATAGGCATATTATATTACAAAGGGCCTGAGATTATAAAGAGAATTAGGAAGAGGAATACAGTAAGAATTATATTATAGCTTTTCCAAATCATTTTTTGTTTGTTGACCATTATTTGTAGATCAGGGTAAGAACCCCAGAACCTAGGGCTTTTTTTTTTTTGCCATTCTTGTATTTACTTAGTCATACTTTTGCCCATATCTTTCTTATTTTTACTGGAGTTTACTTACCTTTCTTGAAATAACTATGGTTCACCGTTTTATAATACTTGACAGTTTGCAGACTGCCACTACATTCTTTATAGTTTCAACTGATTTTCATTAAAACTCTGATAGATACCTAACTATTTATACTTTGCAAATGATAAAAAAACTGAAAAATATCAGACTTAAGTTAGAAATAACAGAACAGGAGCTTGAATATATTACTTTCTAATTTCAAATCCTCCGAACCAGAAACTTGAATATATTCTTTATTTTTAAAAGTTTTGTTTATTTATTTGAAAGGCAGAATTACAGAGAGGCAGAGGCAGAGAGAGATCTTCCATCTGCTGGTTCACTGCCCAGATGGCCGCCACAGTTGGAGCTGTGCCAATTCAAAGTAAGGAGCCAGGAGCTTCCTCTAGGTCTCCCATGAGGGGGCCCAAGGACTTGGGCCATCTTCTACTGCTTTCCCAGGCCATAGCAGAGAGCTGTATAGGAAGTGTAGCAGCCAGTACTCAAACCAGTGCCAATATGGGATGGCAACACTGCAGGTGGCAGCTTTACTTGCTACGCCACAGCACCAGCCCCTTGAATATATTCTTGATTTCATAACCTATGCAATCTTTAAAAAAAAACTCTTGAAGTTTAATATTTAAACATATTTTCAGAAAAATACATGTAGCTTCTTCACCTTAGCAGGCTGTTTAATTATCTTCTTAGTATTTGTTTATAATAAAAGATTTTATTTATTTATTTGAGAGGCAGAGTTACCGACAGAGGGAGAGACAGAGAGAAAGGTCTTCCATCCGCTGGTTCACTCCCCAAATGGCTGCAATGGTCAGAGCTGAGCAGATCTGAAGCTAGAAGCTTCTTCCAAGTCTCCCACGCGAATATAGGGGCCCAAACAGTTGGGCCATCTTCTACTGCTTTCCCAGGCCATAGTAGAGAGCTGGATCAGAAGAGGAGCAGCCGGCACTAGAAATGGTGCCCATATGGGATGCTGGTGCCACAGATGAAGGCTGAGCCCTTTATACCAAAATGCCAGCTCTGCTTCTTGGTATTTATAATAATAGCAATTACTATGTTGATAATGTTTTAGGATGTTCTCCTTACCCAGGTTCTCCATTTCCTAACTAATCATTGTCTATACGACCTTTATTATTTTTATTACTGAGTGATTTTTCTATTTATTATGGTTTTATTTAGCCATACCTCTGTTTTTAGTTGTTACCACTAAGTCTGCATAAAAGTTAACTATTTTTTTAAAGGTTTATTTGTTTTCTTGAAAGTCAGAGTGACACAGAAAGCGGAAGAGACAGAGAGAGAGATCTTCCATCTGCTGGGTCACTCTTCAAATGACCACAACCACCAGAGCTGGGCTGGTCCAAAGCCAGGAGTCAGTAGCTTCTTCCTGATCTCCCACGTGTGTTCAGGGGCCCATGCTTTTGGAATATCTGCTGTCCCAGGCTCATTAGCAGGTTGCTGGATCAGATGTGGAGCAGTCAGGTCTCAAACTGTCACCCATACAGGATGCAGGCATTGCAGGCAGTGGCTTTACCTGCTATGCCCTAATGCCAGCCCCTAAATTATTTTTTTTAGGATGAATTTCCAGGGCATGATTACTGGGTCAGAACCTAATTGTTAGTAGAGCATTGACATATTGGCTCAGATTACTTTTTTTATTCCTATGTTCAAGTTATTAGCAAGTTTTCATATCTTAGTATCTGTCATACTCAGGGACTATACGTCTTTCTTCTTTTTTTTTTTAAGAGTTATTTATTTGAAAGGTAGAGTTACATAGAAAGAGGGGGAGACATAGAAGAGTGAAGAGTGAGAAAGACAGATGTATCTTCCATCCTCTGGTTCACTCCCCAAATACTGAACTCCATCTGGGTCCTTCATACGGGTGGCAGGATTGGAAATGGAGTAACTGGGACTCTAACAGGCATAGAATGCTGTCTTGAGAGGTGGTGGCTTAACCCACTGTGTCACAATGCTGGCTCTAGGGACTATACTCTTAATTTCTTCATTAGGATCCTGGATTATAATATTCAGATTTGTCATCATTTTATAGATCCCTTAGCTTTTATGAAACTTAATGTAAGCCTTAATGTAAACTCATTTCTTTCTTTCTTTTTTTCATGGCAAACTCTTCTTAAGAAAGGAATTTATTCTTTTTTTGTTTAATAAATATAAATTTCATAAGTACAACTTTTGGATTATAGTGGTTCTTCCTTCCATATCCGCCCTCCCACCCCCAAACTGTCCCACCTCCTACCCCCTTTCCCATCCCATTCTTCATTAAGATTCATTTTAAATTATCTTTATATACAGAAGATCAACTCTATACTAAGTAAAGATTTCAACAGGTAAACTCATTTCTGTGTCTGCTCAGATAAGTATTGGAAAAGAGCTGGAGCATTTGTCATACAAGGTCTTATTATTTTTCAAATTTATTTTAATATAATTGAAAAATAAAATTGAATATATTCAAATTGTGCAACGTGATGTCTCAATATACATACATGTTGTGAAATGATTACCAAAATCAAGCTAATTAATATACCCATCATCTTATGTACTTTTTTTTAATGATGAGAATACTTAAGAACTATTCTCTTTGCAAATTTCAGGTACACAATACAGTATTATTAACCATAGTCACCTTGCTATGTTGTAGGTTTGGTCTATAAAGTTACTCATCTTGTAACTCTTTTGGCCAGTATCTCTGTTCCTCCTACCCACTCAGTTCCTGATAATCCCCCTTCTCCACTCTAACATCTCTTCTGACAGGACTCCTGTCCCCCTTTTTCTCTTGAGAATGTTGAAGAAAACAGGTTTTGGGAATAGATTGTGGTAGTGATTGTACAACCTTGTGAATATACTAAAAACCACTGAATTATGCACTTTAAGATGGTGGACTTTGTGGTATGTGAGTTATAGGTCAGTTTTTTAAAAGTATATTCTTTGAAGATAAAGTATCTCTGAGACCTTCAAAACATGGTTGATCAGCCCAAAACTGAGTACATACTTTAATGGAGTTACATGGTAAATGATATAATCACATCCTTGTTCTATGAACTTTGAGTAAGGTACTTGCCCTCTGAGTCTGTTTTCTTATTTTAAATTGGGACTACTACTACTAATACGTTTCTTTTGTAAGGCCCTAACATAGTGGCTGTGCTATGCCCACAGGGAGTCTTTTTAGGTGTAGCTAAGGTTTTAGTCTTGCAGGATATCATTGTCCACAGCTGGCACTGGTGGAGTTAATTCTGCTGGCGCTATATTCCTAGTCCACAATAACAGATCAGTTATTCTGTTTGGTCCTCTAGGTGATAGGTGTAGGTTGAAGTAGCACATGTTTGTGGGGTGGGGGTAAAAGCTCAGGTCCTAAAGGAGACTAAAATCGTATATGTAATTCTACAGAGCTTTCAGGGCCCTGACAAGTGGCATGGCAGATAGGGGAATCACCATACTCACAGAAGCCCAGAGCCATGGTTTCTGCATTAGATGGTTAGAGTTCGTTTGTAGTACCCCCTTCATGGCCCCCGCATTGTTGCAATTTGTGTCAGAGTTCATAAGCAATATTGTCTAATAACACAGCTGTCCTCTCATCAGCTTTTATTGAAATACCCCATAATCAGAATTTTTGGGTTCAAGTCCTATCCAACTTCCTGCCAGTGTGTGACCTGGGAGGCAGTGGTGATGGCTCAGGTATTTTGATCCCTACTGCCAATGTGGAAGACCTGGATTGAGTTCCTGGGCCCCTAGGATTTGAGGATTGAACCATAGGAGGGGGCTTGTCTTGCTCTGCCTCTCAAATAATTTTTTAAGTTTAAAAATATATAAAATAAACCCTTTATTCACAGCTTAACACTTAGTGCTCAATAAATGTACGTGGTTAGTTTGTTTTTGTCTGTCCATACAGAACCTTCTAGATCTATCATCGTCTGTGAAATATTCCTTTCCTAACACCTAACAATTTCTGGGAGACTCTAACCTTTATGTTGTAAGTTTAACAGGTTTACACTTGCTCTTCTGGTGTCTTGTTTTAAAGTGCCCAACTCTGCCTTGTTCAGCCCTGCATTGCAGTCCCTCATCAGTGTCAACTCCTGCTTTGCCAGGCTTTTGTCAGACTCCACCAGGTACTGACAGTGCTGTTCTAGGCTCAGAAGTTTTTCAACTAAAGGCCTCACGCTAGTGAAACTAGCAGTGGTTTGTTTCACATTAGCGGAAATGATTCCCCTTTGCATATCCAGTAGGATCCCTAAGTAGTGTTACTTTGACCTCATTGTTGGTTAAACATTTCTTTGAAATATTAGATCTGTCCGTTCTCCTAGAACAAATGTGTGAGTTCCTCCTCCTAGAACGTATATGTGTATTCAAGGAGTTGGGCTAGGGATAGCTTTGGGTAATAATCATTATGTGGTACAGAGATTTTCTCCTTTACCTAGAGCTTATCAAATCAGATTTCACTCCATTCTTAGGAATGAATTCTGTAATATCCTTTGTACTGTTGGTTACCCAGATGTATAGAGAGAATTTTTTAAGATTAGAAAGAAATTCAGAATTAATTTATTATTTTGCCTTGATTGCCATGATATCTCCAACCTGAAGAATATCTCATAGATGTGCTCTTCTTATGCTGACTAATATCAGACATCAGCATCACTTGGACTATTTCTCAAAGGATAATTGTTAGGATAAACTGTGACGCTGTTTGATACAGTACTTGAGATGGAAGTACCAGCTGGATCTTAATTTGCAATTTTTGATGGATGCTTTTAGTTTCTGTGTTTCCATCCTGAAGGTTTAATGCATAGTCCATAGGAAAAACTTATTTTCTGTAAGTCTGAAAACTGAAATCATAATAATTGCACTTTTGTGTTTTACAGTGTGTGGACCAGTTGACAAAGATCCAAACTGAATTACAAGAGACAGTAAAAGATTTAGCTAAAGGCAAAAAGAAGTACTTTGAGACTGAACAGATGGCCCATGCAGTACGAGAGAAAGCTGACATCGAGGCAAAGTATGTGTTTGAGCATTTCTGAGAAAATGATTATGCAAATAAATGTTATCTTTGCTCATACTTTGTTCTCTGTCAATACAGGGCAGAGGGTTTTTCTTAGACTGTGTTGATTTCATTTGACTTACATATGCTATGTATTTAAGAGCACAGGTTTTTTTTTTGGATTGGTTGATTTTTATCTAGATTAATATAGGGAGATAGGAAAAGGAAAGAAGACAATATTGTATTTGCAGATTTGAAAGGTCATCAAAAGTCTAGTTAAAGTTGCCACGATGTCTGAATAGCAGAGTGTCAGAGCCTCATTTTCCTCATGCTAGACTCCAAATCAAGTGTAATCACAGGAAATCCCTTGATCCTCAGAGTGCCTTTGAAGGACCGCGGACACATGAACTGGACACGGGCACTGACCTCTCTATAGACACCTGCCCAGGCACTGTTTTTACTTTTACATAAAATTCTAGTAAATATGTTTTTTGTGTACTCTAACAAATGTGTGAATTTTACTTTCAATGTGTGTGAATTACAGTTCTTCATTTTGAAAATAACTAGGAAAAGAAGAAATTGATGGTAATGTATAAAGCAAGCAATATGATGTTTGCAATGATATGTTGAGGATGTTTCATTAGAAATTGATGAGAGCACATAAACCTGTGTGACAGAATTGGGCTTTGAAGAGGTCTGTGAGCAGGAGCAGACCTGCCTGCTCAGTGTGCTGACTGATGGAACATCTAGAACTCTGGACTACTAGGCAGGAAATCAGAAAAACTTTTAAGTACTTGTACAGACCAGCAAATAGGAGGGTGTCTTTCTAATAAGTTTTTTTTTTTAAAGATTTATTTACTATTTATTTGACAGGCAGAATTACAGAGAGGCAGAAACAGAGAGGGAGAGAGAGATCTTCCATCCACTGGTTCACCCTCCAAATGGCTGCAGTGGCCAGAGCTGTGCCAATCCGAAGCCAGGAGCTTGGTGCATCGTCCCAGGCACTTGGGCCATCTTCTACTGCTTTCCTGGGCCATAGCAAAGAGGTGGATTGGAAATGGAGCAGCCGCGACTAGAATTGGCACCCATATGGGATGCTGGCACTGCAGGCGGTGGCTTTACCCGCTGTGTCACAGCAACAGCTCCTCTAATAAGTTTTTTATCTGCAAAAAATGTAAGCCATCTCATAGGTTTCTTGTGAAAATTGAGGGGCTCCTGGAAGGTTTATTTAGTGCTAATGATTAGTAAATGAATCCTTATCGAGTACTTGAAGTTATAGAAAAACATATTTAATATTTCCCTAAGTTAATTTATTGTCTATTGTTTTATTTATTTTTTTTGAGCATACAAATATTTCTTGCACTGTCATAGAGTCAATGGGTCCGTCTTCCTTATGAAATCTGAGGGTTTTGGAATAGGTGATTCCTGTTAGAAACATCCTGTCATGATGGGTTTTTCAGACTCAGAGAGTCTACAACACAGGATTGACAGATATGCAGACTGTGTGTAAATACTTAATTTAGCCATGGCCCACAGGGTGAAAGTGAGGACATGACTGTTCCTGAGTAGTAAGGAGCTGACAGAGTCTCATGCACTGAGGTGTTTCACTGCCTTCTTCTGTGGCCCTGATTCAAAGGGAACAACAAGTTAGATGTTTTAGTTCAGTGTGTAACTTCTGGAAATTAATTCACCTGTAAAGTAAGAAATGCCCCTTTCTCCTTCTCATTACCTTAATTTATTCACCAAATGTTTATTGAGTAATTACTTTGTATTAAGTACTTTGAGCACAGAGGGTGAGTGAGATAACCTTTGTGCCCTCAAGGAGTTTAAAACCTAGAATTTGAGAATGTGTTTAAAAGTAACTTTATAACTTATTCATTCACAGTAAACTCAAAGAAATTAAATCCCTGAAGTTATTCACCTAGTAACTAGGAATTTACTTACAGAAGTAATTTGAAAATACTGTTTTAAAAGCATGGAAAATGGAGAGATTGATTTTGCCTAATGATAAAGAAAGCCTTTCTAGAAGCAGTGAGGTTTGGAAAAAGTCTTGAATAATTAATTTTTCTAAGTAGAAATAAGTTCAGGAAGGGCAGTGAAAACTAGACTACATATGGTTTCAGTAGATGTTCAGGTATGCATGTTATGAGAGACTATAGAAGAAAGAGGATGCAATTTGAAAGAGATGATGAGTTTCATTTTGGATACGTGGATTTTGAAGAGCCTGGGAAGACATTAGCATGAAGGTTTAGTAAGTAAGTAAGTATCTGGCTCTTGGAGAATTTGAGCCTAAAGATCTTAGTTTGGTAGGTAGTTGCCTATCAGATGACAGTTATATAGATGCAATCATATATAGAATGAAATATTGAATTTAGAACCCCAAGGAACACTAACATGGGAAGGCTAGAAGACGAAGAGTAATACACAGTCTGGTTTTTTATTTGTAGTGTATAGCTTGTAAATAAATCCTATCTTTTTCTAGATTTTAATCTTTGAAGAGAGGTGCTGTTTTTATCTCTAATTCCTTAATAGTGATTTCTATCCCTGTCTACCATTTACCTTATTATCGCACAAGAAGTATATGAGGATTAGCAAGTGAACAGAAGCCAGAAACTTTAAACCTTACATTAGAAGATCTGGGTGCAACTCAGCCTATTTGAATATTGACTACAGAAAAAGGAGAACTAGAGAAACCTCAAGCATCTTCTTAACCTGAACAAGCTCTCTCAGATCTTTACATTTGTGGCTTTTGCTTTTCTAGGTCAAAATGAATAGGAATCTGATGAGTAAATCAAAAAACCTCCATTAAATAAGAATATGACAAAGTAGAAAATAATATACCTATCTTACAATTAATTTTTTGTAAAGGATTTATTTATGTAATTGAAAATCAGTGTTACGGTGAGGGGGAGATCTTCCATCCACTGGTTCACTCCCCAAGTTGCCATACCAGCTAGGACTCAGCCAGGCCAAAGCCAGCTGCTTCATCCAGGTCTCCCATGTGGGTGATGGGGCCCCAAGCACTTGGGCCATCCTTCGCTACTTTTCCTAGGCCGTTAGCAGGGAGCTGGATCGGAAGTAGAGAAATGAGGACAAGAACCAATGGCTGTCGGTATGCCAGCACTACAGAAGGTGGCTTTACCCACTATGCCACAACACTGGCCCTTTATTTTATTTTATTTTTTTTTTAGCAGTGAGAAATACTTGGAATGACGTGTTCATCCCTGAATGTTTTCTGTTTAGTTAGAAAGATAAGAGGCTGCTTTTGCTGTCTTTTTTTTTTTTTTAAGATTTATTTTATTTATTTGAAAGACAGAATTACAGAGAGAGGTCTTCCATCTGCTGGTTCACTCCCCAGATGGCTGCAATGGCCAGAGCTGCGCCAATCTGAAGCCAGGAGCCAGGAGCTTCTTCTGGGTCTCCCGTGCGGGTGCAGGGCCCAAGGACTTGGGCCATCTTCTACTGCTTTCCCAGGACAGCAGAGAGCTGGATCAGAAGTAGAGCAGCTGGGACTAGAACGGGCGCCCATATGAGATGTCTGCGCTTTAGGCCAGGGCTTTAACCCACTGCGCCACAGCGCCGGCCCCAGCTATCTTCTTCACACTGGCTCTGCAAAGACCAGCTGCTCTGTCTGATTCTAAGTTATCTGCAACTTTTCTTCATATAATGGTGTAGCTGCCAGCAAGTGCATTGCATTCTTCCATGGCAATCGCCATGACACTGCAGTCAAGACAAACATTGCAGCTTTAGAAAAATCACTGTTGCTTGTTCTTTAGCGTTTGTCTGTATGGTTCTCTCTAGTTGTTTGGGTAAAACCAGTGTTGGAGATTCTACTACTGATTGTTAGATTATGGATCCCCTCTGAAGTCAATAGAAATCTAGGGAGATAAGAATACCAGAGTGGGAGAATATTAAATAGAGAACAAAAGTAAGTTCAGAGTGCCCTTAGGAATAAAGGTGACACACAGGCAGGCACCCATGCAAGAGCTTTTAATAGAGGAAACAATTGAAGTTAGGATTTTCTAGAGCCTGGGATTATATCCTGGTGTGTTACAGTGGATCACACATAGCCCCAAAGGCCTGGTAACGTTTGTCTCCATAGGTTGGATGCTTGCGTGCAGGAGCTTAAGTGTGTGAAATTTTGTGATATTGGGAATCATTTATATAGTTTGATGACTGTTTATTAGGAGATACCAGTCTATTTTGATGTTTTCTTTGTTAAATTGTTATTTTGTTATTCAAGGTATTTTTGTTAAGGCCAGTATTTCCTAACTTACCATAATATTAAATTCTTCCTGTAGAAAATAATTACTATTTGTGGTTTTCCATTTTTAAGTTCTTTTTTAGAAAAGTGCTTTGAGAGAAAGCCAATTTTTAAAATTGGTAAGCAGTAATATGTAATTTTATTATATTGTTAAATGTACTTTTCTATTTTTGTTATAGATCTAAACTTAGTCTTTTCCAATCAAGAATCAGTTTACAGAAGGCAAGTGTAAAGGTGAGTTTTTGAAAGATGTATTTCGCAATTGAGAAACCTCTTAATTTACAAAATAAATAGTTGGATTTTTGAGGGTGGGAGTGTATTATTTCTACCACAGAGAAACCTTTTAAAGATAATAACTCAGGGAGGGATTTCCCTCCCAGTTCTTGAGGGATTTGCACCCAGGTGCCAATACTTTGGACACAGCTTTCTTCTCACGACTGCTTTAGGGATAAGTTTCAGTACCTTAATGACTTGGGTAGCCTGTTGTCTTTAACTCTTAGTCAAGAGTTGGCCCAGGGGCTTTAGAAAGTTCTACAGAATCCATTTCATTCAGATAGAGCAGCTGTTTTGGGCCAAATACCATCAGTTTTCTGTGTGGGACCTTCAAGCTGTGCAATACCTGGTAGGTCAGCTCGGCGACGTGGCTGTGGCTGACAGGCTCCTGACAAGTATTCTGCTCTCTGGCACTCTACTACATTTGCCGATGTCTTTTGAAGATAACATATTTACTTAATTTTGGAAAGTTCATGTTCCCACCTGAATTAAATGAGGAAAATATTTGGAAGTTCTCTAGAAAGCATTGGAGTGTGCAAAGTGCAAATAACAAATATTTGAAAAAAATTATTGCCATGTGTTCTAGTAACGGTTTAATTCCTTACTGGTGATGAATAATTGCTACATACATAACAAAAGTTTTCTCCACCTGACTGCCTTTGCTCCGGTAGAGAGCCATTCATTACCAAGAGTAGTGTCCTCTGTGTTTTGAAGTGCAGCATCAGTTCACACTGATTATTTTTCCCTCTTACTATGTTTTAGTTAAAAGCTCGGCGTTCTGAATGTAACTCTAAGGCTACGCACGCAAGGAATGATTATCTTCTTACACTAGCAGCAGCCAACGCCCATCAGGATCGCTACTATCAAACCGATTTAGTTAACATTATGAAGGTAATGCAGTTTTAATATCTGTGGTAATTTTGCTTTAATTAAAAACAACTCTGGGATTGGTACTGTGGTCTAGGGGGTTAAGCCACCACTTAGGACAACCATCCCATATTAGATGGAATGCCTGTTCAAGTTCTGGTTACTCCACTTCCAACCCAACTTCCTACAGACAAGGCGCAAATACTTGGGTTCCTGTCACCCACGTGGGAAACCCAAATGGAGTTCGTGCTCCTGGCTTTGGCCTGAGCCAGCCCCAGCTATTGCAGGCATTTGGGGAGTGAACCAGAGATAGATTTTTTTTCTCTCTCTTTCTTTTCTCTGTCACGCTGCCTTTCAAATAAATTAAAAAAAAAAAAAAATTGAGCCAGTGCTGTGGTGCAGCAGCTTAGAGCCCTGGCCTGAAGCACTGACATCCCATTCGGGCGCTGGTTCTAGTCCCGGCTGCTCCACTTCCGATCCAGCTCTCTCCTGTGGCCTGGGAAAGCAGGGGAGGATGGGCCAAGTTCTTGGGCCCCTGCACCCATGTGGGAGACCTGGAAGAAGCTCCTTGCTCCTGGCTTCAGACTGGTGTAGCTACAGCCGTTGCGGCCATCTGGGATCTGGGGAGAGAACCAGCAGATGGAAGACCTCTCTCTGTAACTCTGTCTTTCAAATAAGATAAATCTTCAAAAAAAAAAAACAAAAAAACAAAAAAACAAAAAAAAAAAACCTCTCATGAGCTGGGTGTTGGGTATATAGGATTGAATCTATAGAACAGTAGCAAGGTGGGCCGGCGCCGTGGCTCAATAGGCTAATCCTCCACCTTGCGGCGCCGGCACTCCGGGTTCTAGTCCCGGTCGGGGCGCCAGATTCTGTCCCGGTTGCCCCTCTTCCAGGCCAGCTCTCTGCTATGGCCAGGGAGTGCAGTGGAGGATGGCCCAGGTGCTTGGGCCCTGCACCCCATGGGAAACCAGGAAAAGCACCTGGCTCCTGGCTCCTGCCATCGGATCAGCGCGGTGCGCCGGCTGCAGCAGCGGCCATTGGAGGGTGAACCAACGGCAAAGGAAGACCTTTCTCTCTCTGTCTCTCTCTTTCACTGTCCACTCTGCCTGTCAAAAAAAAAAAAAAAAAAAAGAACAGTAGCAAGGTTACTTTGCATTTCATTGTAATATGCTTGACATTATTTAGATGACCTGTTTCAGGGAATTTGGAATTAATTTTTAGTGTAAAAAGATGCTTAGGGGCAGGCATTTGGCATAGCAGTTAAGATGTGGGTTGTGATTTCCACATCATGTTTTAGAATGCCTGAGTTTGAATCCAATTCCCTTTTGAATCCAGCTTCTAGCTAATGCAGATCCTGGGAGGCAACAGGTAATAGCTCAAGTACTTTGGTTCCTGCCACTCATGTGGGGAGACTTCTTAAGCTGAGAATCTGCTTCTGAGTAGTTTTTTGCCATGTAGGTCATTAGAGTCAGCGTATTGAAGCTAGATGGAATCTTCAAGAACCTTCTAAATTGTCAGAGATGATATTTCAGCATAATTTATTTTTGTTAAGCTGTGTCCCTATTTTCTAAAACATTCTTATAAGAATAATTATTTTTATTTAAAATGTACCCTGAATTCTTTTTGGTTTGTTTATTTGAGAGTCAGATTGACAGCCTGAGGGAAAGAGAGAGAAAGAGAGAGAAAGAGATCTTCTATCCATTGGTTCATTCCCCAAATGGCCGCAATGGCCAGGGCTGGGCCAGGCTGAAGCCAGGAGCCTGGAACTCCATCTGATGGGTGGTAGGATCCCAAGCACTTAGGCCATCTTCTACTGTTTTCCTTAGGCACATTAGAATGGAGCTGGATTAGAAGCAGAGCAGTAGGATCTCAAACCAGTCCTCTGATTTAGGATATAAGCCTTGTAAGTGGTGACAACCTGTTCTATCACAATGCCAGCCTCTGCCCCTGAATTCTTTAGTAACCAGAATTTTGCCCATCAACCGCATCTGATGATAATAATGTAGTTACTTTGAATTTTTCTGAAGTTCTATTTTAAAATTTTCATCATGATAAAATTATACATTAACATTTAAAGATTTTGGGGTGTCTATACAGCAAACAAAAGGCAGTGTCAGATGGCTATATGAAAATATACTGAGCATTAAGTGCTTGCTGAAGTGCAAGTACACTGGATTATGGTTTGTGTCCCCTAACTTGATCTCAGTACTGCCCTGTTTATACTACTTATATGGATCTTTAACTTTGTCTGAAATAAAGGAAAAGGGGTACAAGAGATAAAAGCCGTTTTAAACTGTTGTCATGTTCTTCCTTGTTACTGTCAGACAACCTCTGCTTTGGACTGTATCTCATTCTCTCCCATCTTCTCAAGAACCCTAACATTTGATTATTCTGTTCTCTCTTATTTTCAACTCCTCTTCCTCAAATGTATTGTTCTTTTATTTTTTAAAAAATATTTATTTATTTTATTTGAAAGGCAAAGTTACACTGAGTCAGAGAGAGAGAGAGAGAGAGAGAGAAAGAGAGGTCTTCCATCCTCTGGTTCACTTCCCAGATGGCCACAGTAGCTGGAGCTGCATCAATCCGAAGCCAGGAGCCAGGAGCTTCCTCTGCATGGGAAGACCCAGAGGAGGCTCCTGGTTCCTGGCTTCGGATTGATGCAGCTCCGGCCGTTGCAGTTATCTGGGGAGTGAACCAGTAGATGGAAGACCTCTCACTCTCTCTCTCTCTCTCTCTCTCTCTCTCTCTGCCTCTCATTCTCTGTGTAACTTTGACTTTCAAATAAATAAATATTTTTGAAGAAGAAGATTATATTGGGGCAGGCATTGTGGTACAGCAGATTAGTCTGCAGCTTGGGATACCCTCTCCATATCAGAGCTCCTATTTGAGTCCAGCAAGTCCTCTTCTGATCCTGCTTCCTGCTACTGCCTTCTTGGAGGCAGCAGATGACAGCTCACGTTCCTTGGCCTTTCCCACCTGTGTGGGAGACCCAGATGAAATTCTGGGTTCCTGGCTTTGGTCTGGCCCAGCCCTGGCTATTGCATGTTGCAAGCATTTGGAGAGTGAACCAACATGTAGAAGATACTTTTGAAGTTTTCTTTTCTCTGTGTATCCTCTGTGTTAGCCTGTAGCGAGAGGTATCAACTTGGAGCTTCACTATACTGTGATGTGACGATCAATTATAGGAGAAACTCACATGCCAGTATCCTCAGATCTCTCCTTCTGGGTGGTCAAAATCCTCTTTTGCCCCCTTTGTTACTTCTTCAGATCTCTTGTCTTGTGTTATTTTCTGATAAAAACCTCCCTGAACTCCACGATCTGATTATATCTCCCACCTATAAAACAGCTCATCCTATCCTTAAGGCACTGAGCAGAGTTGCAGTTTTACATGCATCTGTGTGATGCCATCATAAATCCCTTATTCCCACTCAGCTGTACACGCTTGAGGACAATGATGATGTCTGCTTCGCTGGAGGCTTTATCCTTGCTATCTACCTGGAATAGTATATGATTCCTAGTACACGTTGTTTCTAAATTAATTACCAAATCAGTAATCTCATTCTAATCCTCACGGGACAAATTGTTCCCATTGTACAAATGAGGAAATTTTGAAAAAGATTGGATTGAACTCTGGTAGGTCTTTCTGACAAGCAGAGCTGTGCCATCAACTCTTTTTTTTTTTTTTTTTTTAAGTCAAAGTATTTTATTGAGGAGTTTGAGGGGATGGGCAGGGAAACTTGAACTTGCTCTGGGACTGATTGAAATTCATTGAAATCCGACGCCCATGGCTGGGACCTTTCTACCATTGCAGTCCATGAAAGCGCCATCAGCTCTTTTACTCGAGTGAATATAGAGTTTACTCTTGGGATCTGTTTCTTTTTCCTTTGTTAAATGAGAGGTAATCATGTACTATTTTATTTCCTTTGGCTTTGGTGAGGACTAAGTGAGATTATAAAAAGTTTTTTTTTTTTTTTAATTCTGACGCTTGGTATATACCTCATATGTTATCTTTTTAAAGAACAGAAATTCTATTAACATTCTATTTTAAGTAAGTTTTTGGATTGGTGGGTAGAGAAGTGGTGTGTAGAAGACCTTCAGTGCTTGGGAGCAAGAACACAGCAGGGCCAGCCGTGTGGCGTGACGGGTTAAACCTCAGTATAAGGCTCACTGCTCCTTTTCCGATCCAGCTCTCTGCTAATGTGCCTGGGAAAACAGCGGAAGATGGCCCAGGTGCTTGGGCCCCTGCAGCCACAGGGCAGGGCAGACTGGGATGAATCTCTCAACTCTTGGCTTTGTCCTAGTCCAGCCCCAACTGTTGTGACCATTTAGGGAAGTGAACCAGTTTGTAGAAGATTCTCTCTCTCTCTCTGTTACTCTGCCTTTCAAGTAAATAAAATAAATCTTTAAAAATAAATAAATAGAGCAAGGTCATATCTGTATCTAACTGCATGTACTTAGATTCCCCAAGGAATATTTTTGTCCTTAGGACAGTACTGATTAGAACAGATGCTAGGCTGGCACCGCAGCTCACGAGACTAATCCTCCGCCTGCGGCACTGGTACTCCGGGTTCTAGTCCCGGTTGGGGCACTGGATTCTGTCCCAGTTGCTCTTCTTCCAGTCCAGCTCTCTGCTGCGGCCCTGGAAGGCAGTGGAGGATGGCCCAAGTCCTTGGGCCCTGCACCCGCATGGGAGACCAGGAGGAAGCGCCTGGTTCCTGGCTTCGGATCGGCGCAGCATGCCGGCTACAGTGGCCATTTGAGAGATGAACCAACAGAAGGAAGACCTTTCTCTCTGTCTCTCACTGTCTAACTCTGCCTGTTAAAAAAAAAAAAAAAAAAGAGATGCCGCCGGCGCCGCGGCTCACTAGGCTAATCCTCCGCCTTGCGGTGCCAGCACACTGGGTTCTAGTCCCGGTGGGGGCGCCGGATTCTGTCCTGGTTGCCCCTCTTCCAGGCCAGCCCTCTGCTGTGGCCAGGGAGTGCAGTGGAGGATGCCCAGGTGCTTGGGCCCTGCACCCCAT